AAATGGAAAGAGAACAAACCCAGTGGAACCAGGGTACCTACAGTCGAACCCGGATATAATGAATTCAAAGGGGATCGTAAAATAGTTTGATATATCGATAATTTGATATAAAAAAATATGTTAACTTAAGCTCCAGTAGAAATTTCCGCGCTTCTCTGCTAATACCGAAGGCCCCGACAAACGGGACCTTACCAAATAGAGCCACTAAGAGTGAAGGCCCCGACAAACGGGACCTTACCAAATAGAGCCACTAAGAGTCACTAAATACTTTAGAGCTTAGCTGGTAAAGATCACAAACACCGCGGCTTTTACGCCACAATGTTTGCGATCGTTTACGCGTGCGCGACCTCCTCACATCACCAGCGACAAAACACGAAAAAAAAAATGAAAGAACGGAAAAAGCAAGTCGTATAAAAACAAACAAAAACACTCGATCCATAGAATAAAGTTAAAACTAAAAAGAAACCTCACCAAATTCAAACTACAAAAAAAAAAAAAAAAAAAAAAAACGCGCAAAGCAAAAACGGCGAAAGAAAAAGGTAAACGAAGATAAGGCGTTCAAAGTGCGATTGCTCAACCGTTGTCGACGCACTCGAGTTGAGGAAGACTTCTTTTTTTTTTTCTTTTTTGCGTATTTTATTTTGGGGCTAAGGAGCACTCCCTGCCCTCCCTACGCGCGCGCGTGCCCTTCCCTTTGCTTTTGCCATCCTCCACTTTTTTTTTTGTTTTTTTCGCTGCTCTTTTCTTTTTTTTTTTACATCTGCTTTTTTTGTTTAGTATCCCCGTGCGCGTATGCTGGCTTGGCGGTCTGCCAGTTCGGCAACGCGCGCTTGTGCTCCGCGGGGGCGATCTGACCTGGGGAGAAGCGAAGGGCCGCCCTGCTTCGTTCGCTATATCGAGTGTCCCCGCCATGGGAGTTCGATACAAAAAGACAACGCTCCTATACTGTTACATGCGATTTTCAAGGTGATGTTTGGACTGTTCGATACAAGCAATAATTCGAAATACCCGGGTGTGATATAACCGGGCTTGACTGTATAGCAACATCAAAGAGGATCGCAAAATAACTCGATACTGCCACGCGCACTCACGAATGATTACCGCGCTTGGCTATCACGCCGCGGTTCTGGGTTTGATTCCAGTGAACAAACTCCTCTTTTATTTATCCTTTTAACTCGACATTCTCGTTCAGTTCGAGAACCTTCTCGTCTGAACAAGTTACTATTGTTCTACGCCGAATGTTCCAGAAACCCATGAGGGTACAAAAGGTGCTCCGCGTGGCGGTCCGGGGTCAGTCTTGCCCTAGCGTTTGATCCTGCAGTTATGCCGACTTCGAAGCCCGCGACGCTCTGTTGTTATCTTCCGTTTTCTTTTTGCTTTGGGCACAAGTTTGCCCCATTAAACGTTTCAGTTTCCTCGGTAATTCTTTGTTTCGTCACCCCGTCATTCGTGACCATATATCGATGATTTGTACCGAATTGGGCGTCCAAGAACCTCCAAACATGGCAGAACCTCGTGAAAGCATACTCAGAGGAAACCGAGGGCACCACCGCCCGTGCGCGCACCTCACTACATCTTTGCGCATGCATGGTTGCGACCTCAACAACGCGGGCAGCGAAACACAAAAATTTTTAAAAATAGCGAGAAAGTTGGAAGACTGGGAAATACAAAGCAACTCTCTTTATGCTGAGGGAAAAAGTCGAACGAGCAACAAAAAAGAACTGGTGTACAATCAAAAAAAGCCAGAAAGAAGGCAAGTAGAAAAGGCTAAAGAGAAAGGGCAAAAGAAAATGTAGACCCTTCCACTCCATGTGAAGATGGACGACCAGCGAAGCTGTTATCTTTACGACGTCTAGGACGATGCCTAGAGGACAACGTCAAGGACCACAGCAAGGACGAGGTCTAGGACGACCTCAAGGACGACTTCTAGGACGACCTCGAGGACAGCGTCTCGAAAAACCTCGAGGACGACTTCTAGGTTGATTTCAAGGATGTGTTCTAGGACGAAGCCTAGAGAAATTCAGCCTTTCCGCTCTGGTGAAAACCAAAGTGGAAAGGTTGCCGCCATCAATGAGCTACAGCGGCAACCAGACAACCGGCAAGTCTGGTCCTCTGCAAAGCTTGGAAATAACTGCCACAAACTGTTCCGTCGTTAGCTATGCAAAGAAATACGAGAATTTCTTGCTGCAAACCGAGTTTTCCGGCTCCTCCCGGTGGCCGTGCCTCAAAGACGGCTGAGAGCGAAGATCACTACCACGTAATCCTCAATAGGGCAACGGCCCAAGCGAGGGGCTGATAGCCACCCAGTTCTTGGCTTCGGTTTAAGGCTCAACTGCACTTGCACCTGCATTTCCAGATATGTCGGCAGTACTCCAGAAACCTGTCACCCCGCTAATACCTAACACCGGGTACATAAAGAAATACACCCAGTCTGACTACTGCAAAAACCAAGCTGAGAAAAAGTTCTGACTTTAGTCGACTACAGTCAAACCCACCTATAGCAAACGCGGTAGTTCCGCAAAAAGTGGTCGTTTTATACGTAGTTTGTCATATCTGGACTTACTTTCAAAACACGTTATAAATAAGGATAATGAAGCTGGTATTGGTAGCTTCACTCTGCCAGCTCTTTATTTAAAGAAGCTGTTTGCTTGATTCTAACACGCAGGCAGATTTGGCTTTCCGATAATCAAAAAGTAAATTGCTGCCAATTCTACAGCGCAGGTAAAATAATGAAAATTGATCACATATCTCATAGAACAGATTTTATGAACCACGCGCCAACGCAGAAATAAATGCCGTGCACTAGTTCGACGATGGTTCTTCGCTTTCCACAGAGCTAATACTTGCTTTCGACTAAAGCATTTTAAATGCCGCGCTTGCGCATGCACGAGTGTGCAGCCGTCGCCTCTGCCAAGGTCGTCTTCCAAACACTTTGCGAGATCGTCGGGTGGATGGGATTGCGAGGCCACGCAGTGCTGCTTCGTTGTTATCTTTTTCCGCCAGCGTGATGACCTTTCGTTTAAACAGGTTTAAATAAAGCCTTCTAGTAGACTTTTTTTTTTCCACATTTTAAAACAACAGACATGAGATGGCAGACGCGAGAGAATGTGCCCGATACGATACGGCTACAAATGGCAAACGTAAAGAAATGGTCACGGTGGCGGTGGGGCTAGCCACCTTATACCGAGCATTGAGTTTTGAGTATGCAAACATAGAATGAACGAAGGCAGCACGGCATGAGTGTCGACGTCCTCCTTCTTCTCCTCTTCTCCTTCCCGCGCACGCACAATCAGTGGACTACTGGACTCGGGAGCCCGGTTTTGCTCTTCTAGTTTTGTTTCCTCTCCCCGGAGAAGTATGCCGTGCGGCCGTGGAAATGACCTTGAGCGGCTCCCGGAGCACTGCGCCCAAAATGCAGCTTTTTATTTATTTTTTTTTTCTCGTGCGCGAGAGTTTTTTTTTTTTTTTTTTAAACCGGATTTGGAGTGTTTGTTGTAACAGTATGATGCTTTGAAAGACGGTCGTTTTATCAGGACCAATTTTAATGGCTAGGGTCTTGAATTCCTATATGTTCCGAAAGCTGGTTGTCATAACCGATAGGTCGTTATATGCAGGATCGTTATAAGTGGGTTTGACTGTATATAGTATTCGGGATAAAATTTTTCAACAAACGTGGCGTAGGTATACCAGTTTTTGCTTACATGCGAGTTTATGCCAAAATAAACATTCAAAAGACACCTACCCTTAACTACCTAGTTCTTTTGCAGAAAGAAAGGATTGACTATTGCCACTGACGATAAATAATCCTGAAGTAAAGGTTTGAAAGTAACAAAATATAAAAGACCTCCCAATGACGTCCCAAACCTATCCTGCGCTTCCTTTCAGGGTCTTGGAGACCAAAGAAAAACGAAAGAAGACGGGAAAGTGTTTAACTCCGTGCTTTGACCAAGATAAATGAGGTGCCATTATTCTCTCAAAACAAAAAAACCAACATCAAACTGCTTTTCAAGCTGGCTGCCATGGAACCACAGACTTCAGCAGAAGGGAAATGGTAAGTCCCATAATACACTATAGTAGTTCACTTCCATTACAGACAATAAAGACTGACAAAGAAAGGGCCCAGTAGACAGCTTGACGGGCCGCTCAGACACGGTACATTCCACACCAGTAGTAGGAAAATTAATGCAAATCACGCATAATTACGTAAGTAATATAAGTCAACAATAACAAAAAAAAAAGAGTTAGCATTACCATTACTGCAATGTCAATGTACAGGGCCTGTGAGGTTAAACTGCAAAAGCTAATCACCATATATTAAGCTATACATAATGGCTCGCAACTCCTTCATTGTTAACGTATCTACACAAAGCCGGTCCGATCATACGATGAATTTAGAAGAAAGAAATGACACCCCATGTACACAATGTCTTGCCTTCCTGAAACCAACCCGTGGCGTCGCAAGAAATGGAAAAATACCGGCATACAGGTGACCAACGTGCAAAAGCCTACATTAAAGATTAAACTCTAAAATGCGTAAGATATAACTACGACTCTGAATTCTCAGGGCCTACTTTGGTGAAAATTTGCAGGAAGCTTAAGAAGTTCATTTTAATTTAAAGAGATTTTTTATTCTGAAACGTCCTCGCACACTTTGAGGTCAGAATTCAGAACTTTGGAAAGTCTAAGGTACTTGTAGAACCACTTTGCATTCTGAGCTGGACGTCTTAAACACGTTGGAATACACCCATTGTTAATTTCCGCTAGAAAAAATAAAAACATGAAACGAGAGATAGAAACCTGCATTACTACTATAGAGCCGTCCAACTCTCAAGAATAATTAGTATCCTAACGAACCGCTCCCTTTTGCCCAAAAAACTTAACTGGGAAGGAAGCACACGCCTTCAGTACACAGACTCATTGGGGAACTGAACTGGAGTCGGTGCGTCGAAAAAGAGAAGCAGACAGCTGCAGCCTAAACAAGGAGCAGAAAAGGGGCTTACGATCTCCTTCTTGGGCACCATGAGGGCGATCTTTGTGGCCGAGGAAATGCCCGTCTTCTTGGCAGCCTGGGCAATCTCCTGCTGCAGCTTCTCCAGCTTGGCCTGCCGGCAACAGGGAGGGACCAACAACAGAGGGGGTCAGCCTTCCGCTCTCGACGTCCCTTCTCTCCGAATCAAGGGCCAGGTCGGGCCTTCGTTTGTGGAGGCGGCCAGAAATAAGGTTTCATCGTCAAGCACATAGATCCAACGAATGTTCACAAAACGCACCCCAAGCAAGACATTCTGTTTCACAGCTAAATGCGACGCTTAACTCCCAGCCCCATTTCAAATTTTGGGAGTAGAGGAGCGTTGAAACAACTCCTCTCCTACCGAGCATAGCCCACATTAAAGCGCAATATAGTCGCGGCGCAGAAGGTAAGAACATGGTATACGCTCGTGTTTGGTCGTACCTAGCTTTTTTTTAGCTAAGCGGATACCTAGCGTGCTTAAGAGAACATTTTGCCCGAAGCAAAGAAGCCACTCTGGACAGGTGCCCGAAGACACCCAAAATTAGTAGCAGACAAGTTCTACCACACAAATACACTGCAGTATCCTGAGACACCACGATGCCATCTGGTGGTTGTCTCGCTCGAGAGCATGTGCAAAACGAGACGCGAGACGAAGTGATGAGATCTCGCAGCAGCGAAGGTCTGCGGCACTCCGGAAGCTATGCCAGCTTCAAAATGTAATCCAAAGAATCGACATCAAAAATGCCATTGCGCCGTCATAACGAAGTCTGTTATAACGAAATGGTGTTTTAGCAAAGCGATCACAATTTCTCATTTCCATTTGTACTTTTTTAATGTAATTGCGTTTGTTTTTAGCGAAGAAAATGGAGCGGCTCCCGCGGATATAGCGAAAAGGAATGTTGCGATAATCAAAAAAAAAATCAAATTCAGAAAAGGTATTGAGTCGCAGAGCGCCGCACTTTGCCACCGTGGCCGAGCAGTCGCCCAAAAGGGGCAGCAGACGACGCCACAAAGTCCGCCGGTGGTGGCCTCTGCGTCGTCATCTGCTCCACACTCCTTACGCAGCAAGCGGCTCCGCGTCACTCGTGGAGAAGCCGTCGTGATGTGTCGACGGGGGTGTTCAGAGCGGAAGCGACCATGTAGCGACGTAGAGATCCTAGATTTCAGAGGGAGCATCTCCAACCATGGAGAGCATTTGCAATTGAATGACGGTTGTCTCCCGAGCGGATTGGCACAAATGCGCACGCGTTGGGTTCTTGTGTGGTGAGACCGGGTAACTTCCTGCAAACGCTGTAAACCCCGTGACCCATCTTTTCCGTCTCCTTGCTGGGCTTCGCTGAGCTCTGCCACAGCTTCTCACCTTGGTTCGCAGACGCTGCGCCAGCTGCTCATACTTCCCCTTCTCGTGGAACTTGAACAGCTTCTTGCTCCTCTGAGCCGACTTGGCACTGCAAAAACGACGCACTCAAACTATGCTCGCAGGCACGGAGCTCTTCCTCCACAGACATCATTTCAACATGTCCCTCGCAATCGCATTTCTATATATATATCATTTTTAATACGGCGAAACCTTTAGAATGGCAAGTTTCGCTCGGCATCAGGTAATCGGGTACATTAGTATATTTTTTCTAATACAAATTTCATGCGCTCCTGATGGGTGCTTACAAAATTGCATCTTATAAATTCCCCGATTTTTCCACGCTTTGCCCGACTATTCCGATTAAATTTCCCGACCATTATGAAGAAAGAAACTGCAGAGGACGGGGCTGCAGGAATCGTTTGGGTTGTTCCCGTTTAACCCTTTTGACGGCTGTCGCCACACACGTACAGTGGCGGTTATACGTTTTAAAGTGCAAATACTGAACTGCGCGCAGCGTGGGAGGTGGTGCTATTTCTTACATTTTTGGCGAACTGTAAGCATTATAAGCGCATGGTGTTTCTCTTCACCATACTATTTACAGTCTTCAAATTCAATGCTTTGAGCGTGTGATGCTCACTTTGCACACTGGCCGCTCTGGCGGTAGTACCGGCGGTAGTGCCAATGCAAGCACTGGCTCTTTTGAATCAGACGCTTTTCGGAACTACATTCGGAAGATGAGCGCTCCTCGTCCGACGAAGAAGCTCCATAAAGCACCTCCGGTTACGAATCTGAGGCCGCTGGAACGTCGCAGAAGTGGATGCGTTAAAATGAAACCGAATGGAAGAAAACTGACGAGTTTCGCCTCCAATATTTCCATTCAATGCTTCCAGACCCGAAGGTCTTGCAAGCAATGTACCTGCACCTGCTCCATCATTAAGAAAAAACAAGCACATGGACCCCCTCTTTCCATCATTCATATGGAAACAAAACCCACCCACTGGGAAACACCTTTTGGGGAGAAAAACTCGACCCTCAAAGGGTTAATCCAGTGAATCGTCAGGTATCCTACGCTGCATAACGATGCTCCCGGCAACCGAGGCACGGCACGAAGGTTACCTACGTCGACGCACGCCACACCTTCCCGCCTCATAGCGCGTCGCTGCACGGCCGACGGCGGTCATTTTCCCCAATTTGACCAAATGTCCGATGCCTTCCCCGACTTTTTCGGTTGTTTTATGGGCGAAGCTTCTTAGGGTCTAGCCTTGTCCGTCCGGCGTCCGTGCTCACATCGATCTTGCTGGTGCTTGTAAGCTCATGTGCTCAAGTAAAGCAAAAAAAAAAAAAAAAAGTTTGCGCAGTAGACAGGATTCGAACCTGTGCGGGGAGACCCCAGTGGATTTCTAGTCCATCGCCTTAACCACTCGGTCACGACTGCGGGACGAGTAGGGGGCTCTGAGATGTGGTAGTAACTCGGGAGCTGGGGATGTCATGGATGAAACGTTGCATGTAGCCGCTCAACGTCTATACAGGAGAGGGCGCTGCGGTCAAATGCGTATATAATCGCGTTAAACTTTGCATGCATGGGCTCAATGTTTATAGACGAGAGGGCGCTCGGTCAAATGCTCAACTGCGTATATAACCACGTTCCACACCGCACATTCTCTTTCTGACATGGATGAAAACGAACGAAAGGCTCGGCATGCTGCGGCTCAGCGTCTACGCAGACAAGCACCACCAGAGCTTCGCCCCAATCAACATCATTCACCACGTGGAGATGCGGTCAATTTTTATATACCCTAATAATTTTAAGTTTTCCGGGTTGGCAGACACCCAGTCGAAGATAACGCGCAAAAGAAGCTACGCATTATATGTGGAAGTTTGGACATGCGTAGTTTTAAAGAAATGGATTCCCAGATAAGTGGGAAAGGATTGTAGAGTTTTGACAATCATTGTCCATTCAATACCTTGGCAGAACCCAACAAACATAGAAAATAGGCCATGGCGTCCGGGACAACAAGGGCCAAATGTTCCGTGGGTGCCGTGTTTGATGTTCCTCGCGTGGCTGAAGATCACAAAAAGCCGACGAAAGGACATCCCTTCTCTCTCACAGTTCTAAAGCCGAAACGAAGCATGAATGCGAGGAATACACGGAAACATTAAGCCTACATTAACGTTGGATTGTTGTTGAAAGAGGATAAGGGGGAAAAAAAGATTACCAGCGACTTTTACCTTTGATGTACTTGGACGCATAAAATGCAGGATTTAAGGAGCAATCGTTTAAATTTGGCTAGGAGACACGAAAGAGTCGTTTCGGGAAGGGGAAAACATAGTTTATTAATCTCCCTGCTAAATTTAGCGGGCAAATTGACGTTGCACTACTCGACATCGCCCGAGGTAGTATCGCATGATACGAGAACTTGACACCGTAACGTCACAATGCCACGCGACCAGACGTCGCACAACGTGAGGTCACGTGGCTTCAGTTTACCCGCTAAATTTAGCAGGAACTTGGTGTCACGGCATCACTAAGATACCCAAATGTCAAGCGACATTCATTTTCCCGCTAAATTTACTAGGCGAACCGTCGTCGCATGACCCGAGGTCATGTGACGGGTTACGTGACATGCAACATGAATATCAAGTCACACAATCTCGATATTCCCGCTAAATTTACCGAGCTAAGTGACATTGTGCGACACAATCCTGTGATGCGACGTTACCGAGTCGCATGACCACCCGAGGGTCACTCGACCTCATTCGAGGTTAGCGAAACGTGGCCTCGAGACCCATCAATGACCCTCGACGTCAATTTGCCAGTCAAATTTAACGAGGAAATGCGCAGACGGACCAATTCTCGGGGATTCGGTTAAGGAAGGACGCGAACCTTGAAAACCAAAAAATCGCGAAAAAGTTGATTTTTAGAAAACTATATTTTTGGGTTGTATATGTCATAAACTACCTTCCCTGTAATTATCAGTACCTAATACAACGGGAAAATATTTAAAAACAAATATTTACGACGCGTGGGTAGCTTCCAAGTGACAATCAAATGTCAAAACTCAACTGCTCTTCGCGCGCTCGCCATTCCCGATGCGCTTGGCCGATGTCCGCCATCTTGGTCTTGTTTTGAACGTGAATTCTTCCTCCTTTTTTTGCCGGCTCCCAAAACAGCGTTGGCCGCATGGTTAGGGCACGATTGCCGTTCTCCTATGTTGCAATCGCGAAAACGTGATGAGACAGAGCGCGCGCTCCCCGAGCGCGCAGAGGAGAATGGGGCTACTATTAGCCGCACGGGAAGCTCTCCTCTCCCGGCGCGCTGTTTTCCTTTCCCTTCCTCCCGCTCCGCCCGCTCGCGGGCTTGCGTCGTCTGCTCCTTCGGCAGTGATCTGCTTGCTTGTCCTCGTGCTTTGTCAGCTTCGCTTTTCACTCCTCCATTATTACGTCGGTTTTGTTTTCTCTATCGCGCCTCTTCTTCAATCAGGTTAGCTATGTGGAGGAGTAAGTACAAAAGTAAGACGAGGTTTGCGTACGGAGCGTGTAAACGCTCAATGAAGGAAGTGAGAGCAGCGAAATCGAGCGCGGATGCGGCTCTTGCCACAGGCAGCGACATAGTCATGTCCACGTGTCCACCGACTGCAGCTGAAGAATCTATCAGCTCCTGTGTGCCTGGAACTTCGACGGGAAACACGACGGTGCACCTGCAGACGGAGCATGTTTCTCGGGCGGAAGATGAAGCGACAGTGCAACATCGCGATGCCGTTCGTGCCGAACTTGCTTCCGTGTCTGCCACGCAACGTAAGTTTGATATTCTGAAGCAAGATCCTCCTACTCCGACGAATTCGTCATCGAAATTCACCATCGTGCGGCTAGATGCTATCAATGAACTTGGCTACATGGTCTGCCAAGGCTGCTCAGCCACGGGAATGAGGATTCAAGAATCGACTGCTCTGGGTCTTGCTGTGAAGCTTGAACTTGCGTGTTCCCTCTGTGAAGTTGTATCCCATGCCTGGTCTTCATCACGCAAGGCCGACTCTAACGCGTTTGACGTGAACCTGAGAGCAATATCAGCAATCAGGAGCATCGGCAAGGGCCAGACTGCGTTGAATGACTTCTGGTCAACGATGAACGTGTCCCACCGAGGACTCCATCACAAGACGTATCAGGAACACCTCAAAAACGTTGTCAGCAAGTCGGGTGTAGTTTCTGCAGAGAAGATATTCACAGAGTCCGCTGCTGCTGTGAAAAGTATATGCAAGGACATGGACCCAAGTTTTACCAGGGATGTTGCCGTCGTCTATGATGGCACGTGGCACAAGAGAGGCTTCAGTTCCCATGTCAGCGTTGGGAGCGTCATAGAATTTGACACCGGCCTGATTCTAGATGCTGAAGTGCTCTGCAATCTGTGTCTCAGCTGCCAGACTGAACCCAAGCCTGGAGACGAGAAGTATGCCGAGTGGTTACAAAACCACAACTGCCAAAAGAACACTGATGCGAACTCTGGAAGGATGGAAGTTAATGCTGCACTTGCACTTTTCGGGCGCTCTTTGGAAAAACATGATTTGCGGTACACTACGCTGATTTCAGATGGGGACAGCAGGACTTTTGGTGCCTTAACCGAAGAGAGAACCTATGGGTTTGTCCCCATAAAGAAAGAAGAATGCCTCAACCATGTGCAGAAACGAATGGGGACTGCTCTGCGAAATCTCTCGCAGAGGAGTGACAAGCCACTTGGAGGAAAGGGCCGCCTCACGAAAGCACTAATTGAAAAGCTCACTGGCTACTACGGATGGGCCATAAGGAATCACAGCAACGACGTGGGCGCCATGAAGCGGGCCGTGTTGGCGACCTTTTATCGTGTCACCTCAACCAATGAAAATCCGAAGCACGACCTGTGTCCAAGTGGAGCAGACTCTTGGTGCAGGCACAGGGCAGCTGAGGCAAAAGGAGAGCCACTGGCAAAGCACAAGTACTGCCTCCCCAACTATGTTGCCGAGGCCATGCTGCCTGTGTACGAGCGCTTGTCACAAACGGCGCTCCTCACGCGCTGCTTGGGAGCCAAGACTCAAAATGCTGCGGAAAGCTTTCATTCGGTACTGTGGTCTTTGATGCCGAAGGAGCAGCATGTTTCACTGGTGTCTGTAGAGGCTGCCCTGCACGAGACAGTCATCAGGTTCAATGCTGGCTGTACAAGGGCATATGGAAATAAACAGTGCCATGAACCTCCAGCCTGCACACCTGGCTCTCTGGCGGGCCTCGGAAAAGGACTCTCTGCACTTGAGCAAGGCCACAAGGCGCCACCACGCAAAGCAAGATGCACGCCAGAAGAGGAGAGCTGAACATAGCACCACAGACTATGCTGCGGGTTCTTTTTGACACTGTTGTGCTGCATCTAACTTTGGGACTTTGTTTCTCGAGAAGGTGTTTATTGAATCTTACATTACTTTTAAAAAGCATACCTCGCAAAGCAGTTGTTCGATTTGTGTGCTGTTTCTTTTATTTTGATGACAGATAGTAGTACCGTAATATCCCGAGTCATCGCCCACCCCCAACCACCTGAAATTCGTTAAAAAAGTGGGGTGGGCCATGTCTCGATGGGTGAGCACAAACACTTAAAAAAAAGCGGAAAAAACCGCCTATTTTTCTCTGCGTATCTAGCGCTGATGCACAAGAGATACATCAAACTCAAAACTGTTTCATTGTTTTATAGAAAAAAAATGCTCACGAAAAAATATTTTACTATAGCGAAGTCCGTTGCTTGCATACGCGCTAGAAACACCGCCGATCTGCATATAGCACGAACGTTTGTTCCGTGAAAGAATGTCGCCATTATGTTCTCCTAGTTAGTAAAAAAAAAAAAAAGAAAAGTCTACAAGAAAATAGAAAAACCGACCAGGCGCAACGCGCGAGCGAGGGAGCGAGCGAGCGGACCAAAGAAGCGACCAAGAGCAATGCTGGGAAAGCGGGAAAGCCGGCGGTCGGGTTGGCAAATACTTGCGTCGGGCCAAGTCGGGCGCCTTGTAGTGGTGCAAAACTATCGATAGTACTATCGATAGTATCGATAGTCGCCAGAAATCTGACTATCGATAGTGAAAAAACTATCGATAGTACTATCGATAGTCGACTATCGAAAAACTATCGATAGTACTATCGATAGTCGACTATCGAAAAACTATCGATTGTACTGATAGTCGACTAACGAAAAACTATCGAAAAACTATCGATAGTCAACTATCAGAAAACTATCGTTAATCGACTATCGGAAAACTATCGATAGTCGACTATCGTAAACCTATCAATAGTACTGTCGACAGTTTACTATGGATAGTTTTGCGACACTAGTAGTTTGCGTCGCTCCCTCTTGTCTATTCATCGCTTTAATTTTTTTTTTCAAACGGGGCACCAACTAGCTTAGATACTTACCATCCCAACTTTGGTTCAGCTTTCAGTGATGACGAAGATGGGAGTTTGGGCGAAAAAAGAAGGGGGGTGGCGAGCGGTAGGGCGAGGGCAAGACGGGCTGGGGAGGAGGAAGCAGACGGAGCGCTGGAGAAGAGAGGGGGAAACCTCCTTCTCTCTTTAGCGTTCCGTCTGCTTCCTCCTCCCCGGCCCATCTTACCCTCGCCCTACCTTCTTGAGTTGTAACGGTCTATAGTGGTGCAAGACTATCGATAGCACTAGCGATAGTATCGTTAGTCGCCAGTATAGTAAAAAAACATCGATAGTCGACTACCGAAAAACTATCGATAGTCGACTATCGAAAAACTATCGATAGTACTATCGATAGTCGACTATCGATAGTTCTGGGACACTATCGATAGTTTTGGAAAAACTATCGATAGTATCGATAGTCAATTTATCGATAGTTTTGCATCACTAGCGCCTTGTCAATTGCAAGCTCTTGCGCAACTTTCTTGTTTGGTGCGTACATACGTGCGTCCGTGCACGGCGGGCTATCAATGCACGGTTGGGACACTCTGCAAACGTCTTTGTAGGACGTTCCAGCAAAGCTTTATTTACGCGTTGGCTCTGCCTAAAATATTGCACAACCGCGGTCGCGACAGGCGGGAAGAAGGAGCGGGTTTGCGGTGACCTTACTTCGGCGGAGACAGACTTTGACCTAACACTCCGCGGTTACGTTAACAAACTCTTATTTTGTTATCTCCATCGTTTTCTTTTCGCACGGATACACGACCACTTTGGGGTCGCTCACGGAGGTAAACAAAAAGAAGTGTCTTTCCCTCCTTCGTTTTACTTTGTCACGGACGTCCTCCAACTGTAAGATCCGCGGCCGCGTCATTCGGGTAGGATGAGTGTTCGCGGATCGCAGAGTCCGCGCTGGGGTATTTGAAGGGGTGGGTGATGACTCGGTGTTTTTTCGGAAATCGATATTGGCCCAAAAAATGGGGTGGGCGATGGCTCGGGTATGGGAGATGACTCGGGATATTACGGTAGAAGGTTAATTTTCTTTAAACCATAAATTGTTTTTATATCTGTTAATGACTTTGGTGACATGAAAATTTGAATTTGTATTAAAAGCTGTTCTAGAACGAAATTCACCGAAAGGGCTGTCACTCCCTTGGGTGTATTTTCAGACACCTGTCTAGCGAATTTAATGTTCATACAGTAGTCCATTTATATTTCGGGCTTGGCAGAACAAAGTAACATAAAAACTCATGTAACTCAAAAGTGAACAATCATAATTAATTCAAATCTTAGTTATTATCAATGCCCTTATACCAACATACTCTGTTAATTTCATGCCAATAGCTCCAGAAACAAAAAAATATATTTTTGTTCCCCACCTCCTTCCTTAAGAAGCATACTGGGAACCCGACGCACCTGACCCTGTGGTCGTAGAACTTCTGCTCGGTGACGTCCTCGACCACCTTCTCCTGGTGGATCTTGAACTGCTCCCGCTTCTGGGCTCGGATGTTGGCCTGGTGGGGGAAGCCCGTTGAAGGGGGCCGGGCTGGCGGTCTCTCTTTGACTCACCTTGAGGGTGGGCGTGTGGTGCGCCAGCTGCACCTCCTTGCCCGACAGGTCCACCGTGCGGCCCTCGGCATTCAGGATCAGCGGTGTGGGCCTGGGAGACACGCCTCCATCTTCACCAGCCATCTTCCCGGTCTAGTGTCCGGTTGGTTCGCACAATGCTGTTTTATGCACCATTTCGCGACGGTGACGTCGAGCGCCGCGGGGTGCAAAATGGCACAAGAAATCGCACCGTGCGAACCCGGCATTCTGCGCGTGACACCTAGCGGCTGCACAATTCCAATCTGAATGTCAATCTACGCCCAGAAGTGAATGAGCCGAATGTTTGCGACTCCAGCGACCTAGGGGCAAACAACAAACGTGGTAGTTGGAAATAGGTCGCGTACCGTAAAATCCCGGAAGGGCACCTTCCCGTGAGAGATTGCCTCTCATTTTTGTGGCTGAATATCCGTAACATTAACATCTTGTAACGCCGCCCACTCCCCAATTTCCGTCGAACATCGTGTGACGTCCGACAGGAATCGCATCAACCGCGATAGCGGTATGCGTGAAAAGCGAGTCACAGTGTTTTTTGTTTGCAATCTGCGTGAGTAGTATCGGTTTTCGTGGCACACAAGCTTGCAGCCAGTTTCTGCGCGTTTATCGCACCATGAAACACGAATCTGCCACATTTATGGTCCGTGGTATTCTTTCTCATGACACTGGAGCTACTGGCAAACTTTTGGATATTTATTGCGTCGCAATGCGAATTTGCAGTGTCTGCGACCTGCAGTATCAGTACCCTGTCACGCAGTTTACGGTGGCTGCCCCCGAGTTTATAGTTAATTTTTGATTAAGGTTTTGCCATCTCATCTCTACAGACGGCCCACCTCATGTTTTTCACCATTTATCCCTTCATTATGAGTGTGTGGATCTTCGGGATTTTATGGTAATCAGAAAAGCTCTCCAAGGGCAAAATTCAGCTTTCCGACTAGTGCGTTTTTGTGGACACTACGCCGCCTGGTTTACACGGGAAGAAAAAAGAGAGGAGCAGATGAAAATTACGTAAACATGCTTCAGTGATGGGTGCGCTAGCCGGTTCCCAGATCTGCTTACCCGATAACGTAAGCGAATCTGGGAACCCAAAAAGGGCTAGCGCACGCACGGGTGATTGAGGCACGTTTACCTATGCTCGGCATCCCCTTAAAATGGGGTTATTGATGCGCACGAAAACGTGCCAGTCCCAACACCAAAATAGAAATCGTCCATGGTGGGTAAAGGGTCGACGTCGAGACGTCAAATGAGTCTGCACAAGCCCTTCCAACTCGCGACACGTGGTGGCGCCCACAAATGTGTTTGGTGCGCGCCCAACTTCCTTTACGTGTATGCGTTACGACCGACCATTTCGGGTCGGTGGGTTCCTCGAGCTCTATCGCGACGCTTCGGCAACGACGTCGACAATCCGACGGGTGCCGCTCGCTTCGTCTTCACGGCAGCCACGGAACAAAGTCGGAAGCGTTCGAATATTCTCGCGACGCAGACTCAACCCGCGGCGCGGACCCCGGCCACCCTCTGCGAGGAACTCACATGGCGGGGGAGGGTGCACCGCCAGCCGACGGCAGCGCTCCCACGAAGCCCGGTCGACCGCCCAGCTTGGCTTGGATCTGGGCCGTCAGCTCGGCGATCCGGTTGCGGCTTTCGCCCACGCTCAGGGGCGCCACGGGGGCCGCGCCCAGCCCCGGCCTGAGGAGGGGGACGGCGCCGCCCAGGACGGGTGGGGCGGGTGCCACGGCCACGGGCTGCGGGGCGACGACGGAGTTGCCGAGCAACTGGTAATGGCTGCTGTTCCGTAATGCGGCTTTCCGAGCGTGCGGCATCGTTTGCCCCGTGGAGGAATGCTTTAACGCTTTCGTGCAGGGGGCAGAGAGGTCTCTTTCCGATTTCAGATGAAGCTTCGGATAACTTTGATTTATTGATTCGGGTTACCTCGCAGCAGCTACGAGGCATATTTGCGAGGAAGGTACGCTATGCCACTCTCGTAAAGTTACAGATCAGGCAATTTGGCACGAGCATGCGCATGCTTCAGTCATGATGCTAATATGAAGGGAAAACGAGGTAAACATGAAAAAGCGCAAATTCAGACATGAATCTCTAACATCAAAGGATGCACCCAGTACATGATAGAAAGTAACCAAAATTGGCTAAGAACGCGAGGCGTAGCGTGGCATGATCTAGCACCACCACGCTGTCACGTTTCAGGAATCTGTCTGTGCCCTTGAACAAACCCGTTTCTAAATTCTTTTTTTTTTTTGGGGGGGGGGGGGGGGGGAAAGGGGGGTAGGAAGGGGGGGAGTTTATCTAAATTGGGTAATTTTTCTCTTTCCCTTTGTGTCTGGTAGGCAGAACCAGGTTCGCTTGGAATGTTCGGGCAACATGTGGGGGTGATGTGCACCATGATTATTTTAACAGACTGGTGCAGAAGGAGAACATCTTTTTACAGATGAAGAGAAAGTAAAAGGGACAGACAGCATCTTTAGAGATACTGTTTGTTCCTTTTACAGTGCAACCCACTTACAACGATACCACATATAACAATGTACCGCTTATAACAATCAGTTTGTAGACTTTCTAGGCTGGAAATGATCAGTTTGTAGTCCCGATACAACAATAATCGGCTATAAGGATGGACATTTTGGGTCTTCTCAGTATCGTTATAAGTGGGTTGTACTTCCTTTTCAATTGAGACGCTGTCTGTCCCTTTTGCTTTCTCTTCATCTATAAAAATGTTCTCCTTTTGCACCAGCCTCGGGTTAAAATAATCATGGTACAAAAACTTGCACCAGCTGGCCTGTGCAGACAGTAATTCTTTCTGTTGCCAGTCATTGTTACCAACACACTCTTCAGTTAATGTGCACTGAGCACTTTGGGTTTTTCTGTTGGTGTCCTTAGGTGGCTAAATTCCTTAGTGAGGTAGTTAGAAGTGTTATATCTTTTCCTTTCTTTTTCTTCTTTGTTTTGTTAGCTGCATACTTCTCGTAGTTGAGGGTCTATTTAAGGATGATTCGGCCTAATAAAACTCGAGCTACGTTTGCAGATTTGCGTTGGCCGTCCCGTTTCTTATATTCCACGTAGGAGCAAATGAAAGCCCTGAATGTTTACGTTAGTGATGCGTGCTCCACACTGCGCGTTCGCTATACACGTGCAAAACGGCGAGCTACACGCAAGTCCACTCACTGTCTATTTTGCGTACATATGCGGTGGTCCTTTGCGTTCCATTCTCGTTGCTCTCGTCAGGCGCGGGGCAGCGCACTGAAAACCTTTTGCCACATCTATGAGGTTAGATTGAAAAGTTTCCGGAATCGCAGTTAGGATTTTTTTTTCTTCCTAATCATTTTGATGTTGCTGTGTTTGCTACCTTTTCGTATGAAATGACCACAAATGTCAGATTGATATCTCAAAAAGTCTGGCTTTGAGAAGCATTCTATCGAGCAACCATGAACATTTTCAATGATGGCTGAAAACGAAATTCAAATGGTTATCAACTTTTTTTACAATGGAGCTGTTAAGGGCTACTTTCCCCAGGATTGTGTCTCCCACAAAGAAATGAAGACACCAAACTCTAGAAACCTACCGCCATCTATGAGCGACAGCGGCAGGCCGCGTATCTGGTTGCCGCCATCGCTCATAGATGGCAGCAGTCTTTCCATTCGGGCTTGCCGACTTGCCGCCGGCCATTACTTTCTATTGTACAGCTCAGTGGGTCTTCTTTCTTCACCAGAGAGGAAAGACTGAAAGTTTTTTTTTATTTGGAGGGAAAAACTGCAACGGATATCAAATCCAGGTTGAATGCTCTTGTTGCCCATAATCTTTGTTTTTCGCCGCGAGTTTTTGGGTTTTCGAATTTAAGTGGGGTCGTACAGGCACAAGTGATGAACCACATTCAGAAAATTCAAAAACAGCTACAACACCAAAAATTGTGGATAAAATCCATGACTTGGTTTTGGAAGACTGCCGCATAAAAGTGAGTGAAATTGAGAAAGCAGTCTTCCGAACGAGTTGTTCCTAATTCAAACAATGAATTGGGATTAAAGGAACTTTCTGCAAGATGGGTGCCGCGCTTGCTCAATCCAGAGTGAAAGCGCGTTCGAGCCCGAATGTCAGCCGACAGTTTGCAAAAGTTTCAGACAAATCAAACGAATTTCAAGCAATAATTTGTAACTGTAGACGAAACCTGGGATTACCATTACATACCAGAAACAAAAAGTCAATCGAAACAATGGACATAGTCCGGTGAATCGGCTCTGCAGAAGGCAAAGACCATTCAGTTGGCTGGCAAGGTGATGACATCAGTTTTTGGGGTGCAAAGGAATTTTGCCTATTGATTATCTTGAAAAGGGAAAAACTGTTACTAGTCAAAACTGCACAAGCTGAAACAAGTAAATGAAGAAAAACGCTTGGGAATGGTCAAGAAACAAGTGTTGCTTCACCACGACAATGCACTCGCCCATTCAAGTGCAGTCGCTCAGCAAAAACTGTCAGAATTGAAGTGCAAACTCCTTCCGCATCGACCATATTCACCCGATTTTTCTCCCTCAGACTTCCACCGATAATCCGAAATCTCGAGACCTTCCGGGCCGGAAAGAGATTTCTGTCGAATGAAGAGGTGATGGAGGCTGTGAACAGTTAGTTATTTTGGGCAACTCGAAGGACGTCATTTCCGGGAGGGAATCGAAAAGCTGTAGAAATGCTGGGCCCAGCGTGTCAAGCTTTGGGGGGGATTGCGTCGAAAAATAGTATAACTTAAATCAGATATTTATTGTTTTCATTCTGGAAACTTTTCAAACTACCTCATAGATGGTGCTGCAATTGCTTGTGCATATGTTTGCGCCCGCTGTATTAAAAGTGCCGGTTTGACACGCTTCGCAGGGTTTAGCCACGAGCTTGCGTTTGTTGTACGAAGTGCTAACACGAGGCTCTTTATGCCATTCTAGAACTCCCTATGGGACTAAAACAGACAGTCAGATCACCAGTCGCCCACGGGCCTCAAGAGGGTGACCGGCAGAAAACACAAATTCTTAGAAAAAAAAAAAGACACATTCGCAGATTCACGAGTTCCGTTCGGCGGAGTGCCGCAACTTGGGCCAATTTGTCCCCTTGCCTGCAGCGAGGCACGGAACAAAAGAAATTGATGAAAGTGGTATAACTAGTCCACCTTTGTATCCCGTTTTGTCAGGACTATAATTTGCAAACTAGGCGTATTTAGAAGTGGAAATTTTATGCAGTGTGGACCACATGAGGATTTGTTTTTCAAGACTGTTCTTTACGACAAGACACGACATATTTAGCGAAAGACAAATTACGTAAGAAATTATTTCTGTACGATACAAGCTTTGTTGCGCTCTAATAAAGCTAGCACTTCAAGGAGTGCCGCGAATAATAACTTTCTAGGTGCCGAATGTGTACCCCGCGTAAACTGCGCACTAAATGTAAACTAAAAAAGAAAAACATTTTTTTATTTTTTTTATTTGAAGTACATTTTTTTGGTGCATACGTCAGATGCGAAAAATACGCCATTTAGAATGAAAAGTACCACAAAGCAAACCCTTAGGACGAAAGTGCGTCGCCGCCATTTCCGGATATTTCACTCACCCCGAGAGCCCGCTTGCGCTCCTCGATCATCCGCTGGGCGTTGGCCATCATCTCCTTGATCTGCGCCAAGGAAGGAGAGCGTCAAAAGAGAGCTCGACCCAGCCCCGTCCCCAAACGCCGCAACGCGTCCCCCGTCCTTCCACGCTTCGTCTCTCCCCAAGTTGGAGCGTGGCTGAAGCCGGGAGCCAGTCGGTCCATCGAGCGGCCACAAAAGCGTCTCGGCATTTGCCGTCCTTTCGCACGCGTGCCGTGACCTTAAACTTTTGGTATGCGTGTCTGCCTTTGCACGCGCCCAAGTTCTCGACTGCGCTCCGACTTATGGTGATATGGAGTACAGCAGTCTCATTATCCTAAAAATGCTGCTAGAAAACGTTGCGTGAACCTTTACCTCCAAAGTTCTACGACTTATGATACGCAATATTCTTAAGGCCCATTCACACTCTTGCCACCTCTTAAAACTGGGTTCCTTAAAACCTCTTACAACGAGAGGATACACTGGCGCCATCTATTGGGTAGCAGTGTAAATTTGGCGGTCCGGCATGTTTTCTATTTCTCTTGGGCATTATCCTTTCTTTCTTGGCTCGAGAAACTTTTGTCAACGTTATAAACGAGCCCTTCTTGTAGGTATTACGCACATTTGACCTCGGAAATCCCGCAAAACCTTCGCTCTTGTGAAATGCAGTTCCAGGGTCACCGCATAGGTGGCGCCAGCGTGCCAGTGTGTTCTCTCGTCCTAAGAAATTTTTAAGATGTTTCAACAAGTCTCGTCTCTCTCGGTCGTACTCGGTTGCAAGAGTGTGAACAGGCCTTTAGAGTCGCCATTGAAATTTTTTTTGTGAGACATTAATGGTCGTTTTGGGGAGTGAAGAACGTAACGTTCTTTCGCTTCCACATTCGCCGAGGAAATCGACGTCGTGAGACTCGCCATGGTGGCATCAACGCGACACCGCGAGGTGACGTAGATTTCCCCGCTACCTTTAGTGGGCGAATGCGCGGATGGATGGACACATTTCTCCGAGCAGAGGGTCATTTCAGGCTTTGATAAGAAGGGGAAAGCCTCCTGAGCATGTGCCTTGAAATTGAGCTACACCTTCAAGTGCCACTTCGGGAAGCCACCATACTCGCAAACAACTTTCTGAGGCTGTGCAGTTAAAAGTGTCACCAACGCCCCATTGGCATCGCCTCTCGGAAGTGCCACAGAAAGTCGTCCACAGGTATTACGAAGAACTTCGGAGGAACCTCTCAGACGCAAAGACACGAACATGTGTTGCCAAAGCGTCGAAATGAAGATCGTCGGCTGCCGCTCTTCATTTCCAAGGTACTTTTGTCCTTCCTACAGCCACGAGACTGCCTTTGCACTTGGTTGGTTTGGAAGCAAGTTATTCTAAATGCAAAACTAGAAAAGGAACTACCGCATAAACCGTCTTAATGCGTCAATATTTTACGACGGTCAAATTAACCCGAAGCGCGATGATTACCTGAAACCTTCTTTTTGTCGATCACATTGAACTAATTGCGACCAAGTAACTGGATGGTTTCGAAGTCATAATAATGCATTTAAGCATTCTTTATTTTGTCACGCAGTTAAAGAGAGGAACAGGCTTGGTCTCATCCTACCACAAACTAAGCAAAAAGGGTAAAAACGCAAGACGGTGACTTTTACTGGCGCTCCCGCAGCACTAGCGCTTGTGCAGCCGGTGCACAATTAAAAACATGGACATGGCGCACGTATTATCTTTGGTTGGTCCATGTTAGGGTAAACTGGGGTATTGGCGGTAAGTCTGCCAAGTCGTTTGCCGAGTCTCGCGCGATTCCCTTAGGGGCACAGCGTCACTGTCGTGCCCACTTTGCAGGCCTGTCAATCTATCAGGCGTGTGTTTCGAGATGCCCAGTTCTTCATGTTGCTACACAATTATTTTTTTAGAGTCGGTTTTCCGTGTTTCGCAGCGCCAGCGTAACCGCGCCTAAAATTAGTGGGAAAACTGATGTCATGTGACCTCAACACCAATTCAATTCCCCGCTAAATTTAGCGGGGAATTGAATTGCTGTTGGAGTAGGCGGAGTGGAGGGTATGGAGGAGGAGGGAAATGTATGCAGGAGGAGGAAAGAAAGAGGAGGAGGGGAGAAAAGGAGGATGGGGGAGAGGGTATGGAGGAGAAGGAGGGGCATAACCTTCCCACCTCCTTATGAGCTGCGCTCTAATTTTGCATTACAAAGATTTGCAAACGTCTTTATTTTTTATTCATCAACGGTACGTCATAGTGTGTACACCATTTGTTTCTGTTGGTTGGCAGTGTCGTCCGACACGTCATAAAATGCAGCGTCCCGGCCGCCCAAGCTTTTGTGGAGGGGCAGAAATCGAAGGGCCACTTTCGGGGGCACAATGAACGTGGCAGTCGGGCGAGAGATGGCGCCACTCACCTGGATGGCTGTCAGCTGTCCGGGACTGGGCTGGCCCGGCTGAGACAGGGCTACGCCCTCCGAGAACCGGGTCTTCCGCTGGTCCGCCGAGTCGTCCTCCTGGGCCGCAGTAACGCCCTCCTTTTGTACCTCCCCATTTTGGAAGCCGTCAAGCGGCATAAATGCAGTAGAAACTTTGTTCATATGTTTCTGGTTTTTAAGTTTTCTTGACTTTTACGTTCAAATCCACCAATCCCGCCAAGGTCTTGGCACCCCTAAGGGCCTTCTTGTTTTTTATGTTTTCCCAGATTATACATTTTTTTTCCCGTGGTCCCCTGAGATGCGTATCAATGAGGTTCTACTGTATGTTTTATATATCGTACATCGCCACCACACCAACTGGTTCAACTCTTGTTTGGTAATGGCGACCAATATAACGGCTCACCTCAGCACTGTCTGTCAAGAACAGCAGTTGCCACTGCTAAATGGGGCAACTGAACATGACCCGACTCTATCTCGAAAAAAATGCTGCAGCTATTCTTCATCGATGCTTCTCTTTAGTAGACGCTCATTTGTGCCTGTCTCTCAGGTTTTTTCAATACCGAAGCAATCCATCTTTGTGTTCTATTTATTTTTTTCCACTTATGTCCAGCTAATTCAGAAGATAAAAAGGTACGGAGAATCACAGCTAGGTATTACTCTCTAGATACAAACGAGCAGACTCCATTAGCGCTATAATAAAGCCACTCGGCCTTGCACTCCCTTGTGGTTGACATTAAAATGCTCGACGAAGGTTATCTTTTATAATCTATTGTGGCCTTTTTAACATTGAGCACACCCAGTATTTGAAACCCAAGCTAACCCATACTCCAACAACTGGTCATTCTAAAATGATCCACCCATTCAAGAGTAGAACCGGTTTCCTCATTCTCCCTTTTCTAAAGCGGCAAGTGAAATCTTCTTCCCCGAGGAAATGTTATTTCAGACTCCCGCACCGAATCCTTCGTAATTTGTAGTGCGACTAGCTACCAGATTGCTGGTAGCTAGTCGGGCGTTTCCAGGCCGCACTGATGATGTCTCCCACATAGGAGACAAAACGTCCGATAAATTGTTGGTATTGTTAGGCAAGTCAGAGGTATTTCTTTTTAATCATGAATCCCGGCTTTTGGAACATTTTTGCATTTCTTGGCAGCATAGCATGAAACATGCCTAGTCATATTTTTTGTTTACGAAACTTATAAGCACAAATATTTTTTGTCCACCTTATTTTCTGGTATTTTTCAAATGTGGGCGTTAGTTGTTCCAGAAGTTTATAAACGTGACTGTCTATTGTTTCTTTCTTAAGGCTACTGTTTTATTCTTTAATCCAAAATCGAACGAGAAAATTTTTTTTTTTTTTTTTTATAAAAGTTTGATTTTTTTGGAGAGAATGGTAAGCGCAGGACACGCGATAGGCCTTCCACGGAAAAGGAGAAGGGCATCTGAACGGCACCGATTACCAAAGATTCGCTATTTCTGGCACACGCCGTGAGATGGCGCAGCACGACAGGAAAGGCCGCACAAATGACTCGGCCTTTTCCGTGCTCTGACCAACCCTCGATAGCTCAGTCGGTAAAGCACTTGGCTCACAGTCCCCAGGTGGTGAGTTCAAATGCTTTTGATACAGTTCCCTATGGGCGTAACGCTTCTCGGTGTTGGTTTTTCGTTATAGCCGGCCGTTACAGTCAAACGACATAGAACTCCACAAGAATCGGCAGATAAAACACATTCTGCGTTAGAACTCTTTTCTGTAATGAGCCCATTAAGGGTCGACGGTGCATAAAAATAAAATAGAAACCACAGGGAACGATTATCTATGAACACGATAGCATATATAGTTGCACACACGGGCAGGTTAGGGGGCAACTGAATTGGTGCATAAGTCACGAAACATAACTTTTCCGCTAAATTTAGTGGGGAACCTGAATTCGTCAGTAGGTCTTGCGACATCAGGCTATGTCGCATCAATTTTCACGCCAAATTTAGCGGAAAACTGAATTGGTTTGTAGGTCATGTGACGTCTGGTCACGTGACTATGTGACATCAATTTCTCAGCTACATTTAGCGAGCGAACTGGGTGCAAATCACATCCGTTTGCGCTAACCCACCCTTGTCCAGACACTGACCTGGGTGACATCCCACAAGCAGCAGAGTGCCTCGTGGGTCCACAGCGAGATCGTGCGGGGACGACACCTACCTTTTTCTTTTTCATCTTCTGCTTCACCTTGAGGTCCTCTATGGTCTCGAAGAGCTGCTCCGACAGCTTGGCCGCCTTCGCATCGTCCAGAAGGGAGGACAACTTGTCTGGAAAGGGCCAGCCTACGGTCAGCCAAGCTGCTGTAGCCAGCTGTCTCCGAAAACATTTACGGCGTTTCTTTTCACCGCAAAAAATAAAGCATGTATCCCTTAACGCTCGGTCTCCGCCCAAATCGAGCACTAACCGTTCGGGCATGAGTGTGCGGCGACGGATACTTCACTTTTGCGATAAAAAAACCTCGCAAATTATTTTGAAGGCTACGCCGTACCGCCTTTTGAAGGCAGCAAGGAAAGAGACACCATTAAGGCTCGGAGATGAGACCACCGAACCTCGTCACACCTTTAAGGAAGAGTTAAAGCGCTGATGTGGTCGAGATGGTTCGTGGCTAACATTAAAGGGCAACTACACTCAAAAAGTCGACCCCATCGAAATGACTGATATCGCTTTAGGGGGTCAAAATACGGTCATACCCAAAATATCACGTGAAACCAACGCCGCATTACCGGTTAAAACCAATATTAAAAATGCTCTCCCAGCTCAATTAGCGGCCCGAAAGCGGGTGAGCAACGCTGGCACTGGGTGAGCTAGTGAAGCAACACTGGGCAATGACGTAGGTCTAGTCCTACGCTCTCGTACGGACGCCGCGAACGCTTTGTTTCCCGTGGCGTTCTGCGATTCTGCTGACGGCAAGAGGTGCTTACCACGTTATCCTGTGTTCTCCTATTTTTATTAGCGTCCAGGCAGTTCATTTAACTCCAGCATTGCTTCCGCGAGCGCGGAAGAGAGCGAAGCGGTGCTGCTCGCTCACGCGCGTGTCATGGAGCCGGAGAGACTTGCCGGACTCGCGTTGGGCAATGTCGAGCACGACTTGAAGTGCTGTGGGTTGCACCAACAAACCGGTGCACAACCCGGAGCTGCGGTTCCACCAGTTCCCAAGAGACCGGAAGAGGCATAAGGTGTGGGTCGGTGCCGTTCGCCAGATAGACTTCGGAAGACCGTCGACTCCGAGCTCCAACGCGAAGTTCTGCTCCCAGCACTTTACGTCAGATACCTACACACGGGATCTGCAGCTGTTGACCGTTAGGGGTTTCTCCACAAAACATGCGTCTTTAAAAGAATGATGCGGTGCCGTTGCTGTTCGCGTACCGTCTGCCGGCTGCTCCAGCATGATCGGCCGGACGCAGCAGGTCGCAGATGATCTAACTAGCGTGCAAATAAAGGTACCTTAGCTTTAACAACTTAGACCGCTTGTGGATACATCTGTCCATCTATCTCCCATTATCTCTTTTTCTCTCGGTTCGCGAGCAAGAAACAAATAAGTCACGCTGCGCCGGCACTGACCCCGACATATTTATGGCAGTCGGATTCGCTTTTCAGCCGGCAAATTTATAAGTACACACTAAAACGTGCTACATTTGGTGCATATTAACAATGTGAAGCGGTAAAAAAAGAAAACGTGCCACTTACCTTCTCTTTTGAAACTACACGTGGGACTGAGCCGACATTGTCAGTGCGTCGGCTCAGAAGCGCAGGACGAGAACTAGGTCATGCCGACGACGCGCCACTAATATCAGTGCTGCCAAGCTGCTTCAGCCGGTAGTTTTGGTTTTGCTGTGCCACCGGAACGATACTTAGATTCGTGATATCTACAAAACGATACACACTACCGAAAAACAAATTATATCTCGTGATTCAGGGTCGCCGACTTGGACTAAACAGATCATAACCCAGAAATTGTAAAAATGAAGTAGAGTTGCCCTTTAACGAAACAGGCCATAAAAACAATGGGATAACTGAAAGGAGTACGCCGGACGAGCCGAGTGTTTTTTAGGCGGGGGTCGTTGTTGTTGGGCTTCGCTTATCCGATAAGCGAGTTCCGATTTCGTAGCTTATCAAGTCAATTTCTTTTCTTTATATCCCGCGCGCCATTTCGTGAACTTTAGGAAAATGTTCGGTGATGCTACGGTGCTCAGAGTGTAGTCGGCGCAGTTTTTACCATGTGTGTTCCACTCCCGTCGGAGCGACATCTTTGGCAAGGCTTCCCTTCAGAGGCGCGCGACGATGTTTGCGCCGTCAAGGCAGGAATTGCGCGCTAAGTTTGTTTGTGCCCCCTTGCGCCACCTCTGCACCTTCCTGCGCTTCTCTACCTAGAAGACAAGGCCCACGTCACTGCCCCCAAATGTCATTCCTCCATGCAGCGCCACTTAGCCCACGTCGGCATCGCTGAGACTGGCGTCACGACTGAACTAGCATACTCTCGTTGAGCCTCGACGGCCGGGTCACTAACGACAAAGTAATCCACCTGGTGTTCTAGGAGGCTACTCTCTTTAGCCACAGTGGAAACGTTGCCGCGGCAAAGCTGCCGTGTCCAATAGACCTTCACAACGTGTCGCTAGAACTCAACAGCTCGTGATACACCCAGGCCAGGTGCTCGTAGCATGCAGACCACCCAGGACTATTCGGATCACCTCACTAACCCTTTGGCTACTTCGGGCAACTCCTGCTCATCGTAGCAGTTTGTGCCAATATCGCCAATGACAAGCTCATCTCGACGCACACCAAAAAGATTCTCCCAGTGCTCAGCCGACAAGCTAGACTCATCGCGCGTTCCTGATTGGAGATCTTGACACCAGAGGATGCCGTCTCAATCGCCCCCCGCATTTCGCCAATTTTAAAATATTTTATGTTTAGCTCTTCTGGCCCAGCAAAGTAAAAATGGCGGCACATACATTACAGGCAGGGGGAGAAGACTGGTCATGATAAACTAAAATTTTCAGATAGGTTCTTGTCACCGACGGATGACAGCAGTTGTAAAGTCTGCTCCGAGTCATCCCTCGAAATTATTATAGGCGAAAGCCTCATATGTCTCATGGTTCAGTCGACCTACAAAGTCCTTGAGCAAAAACATGTCGGTGACACGAAAGGTACCAAAACATTTACGTGACCACTCAGTGGATGACTAAACGAATTAAGATGATGACTCAACATATTGAGAAGGATGACTTAGTGCTTTATGCTTTTTGTAAATTCACAGTTTTGCCAGTGACATCCACTGACATCTCACAAAAGACTGAGAAACTGGTCTTGTCTCAGTCGGTTATAGTCAAACGCAACTGTGTGGACATCAAAACACGGTGATGTGCATCATTTAGGTACCATTGGTACGGAATGAAATGCTAATGCCAGAACGCGTGACCTTCAATAAAAGGCTGCGCTACCTGGAGGCCTTTGAAACTGCGCAGTGGGAAGCGAGGCTGCGAGGGTGTGCACGTCGAAGGAAGCACACACCCTCGCCACTCGTTTCACCAGTCTCCAGGTGGTGCAGCACTATGAAGGCCACGCAACTCGTGGTCTCATCTTGTGTAGATAGCCCAGTGAGCACCAGCAGTGCCATACCTTCAATGGTGTTTGTTTTTCTTTTTCTTTTTTCTGGATGTAGTAAAAGCTGATTTGCAAACTAGGAACTCAGTATTTCGTTCGACAGCCCTCATTCAGAGCGGAGCTCACAGCGAGCGTCGAAGGTGACGTCCAACCCAGACTATCTAAGATGACAAACATTTCCACACAAGCAGGCAGCGCATCGGGGGTGAAATGCGTCCCGCGACTGAGGAAACGTCGAGCTTCCACGAAGGATGGATAGTAATGGCTACACCCCTTTGCAATGGGCAGCAGCTTGCGCCACCTAGCCTAACATTTCGTTATCCCTTCTTTTTTTAAATTTGTATAAATTTTGTTTTTACAGAAGAGATCCCTCCCCTCTAAAGTGTTCCCATTGCTTATTTTATCTGCATTTTCACCCCTCCCTAGCTCTTTTCTAGTAAACTTCCAATCTCCTCTTAGTTACCGCAATTCTGTCCCTATCCATTCGTACATCCATGTCTGCGAATCCCAGTGCCCCCTCCAAATCCATCCCCCCACGAGTTCGTATTCGTGTCAACTCGCGATCGGCGGCATTCATCCCACCTGTGGTCTTCCTCTTGTCATAGCCATTGGAGAGGCAGCTGACGGCGGCCGTCACCAGGGTCGGTTCGTTGAACCCCAGGAACTTCTCGACCGTCCTGTCGATCCACGGCTTGAGCTCTTCCACGTCCTTGCGCGACAGGGCCATGGCGTGGTGCTGCCGGTCCCGACTGCAATCGCGAGGAGTGCGTCCCTCGATCGGGTCAAGACCGCTGCCCTACCCACACATGCTGCGCACCCTCTCGAACAGCCTGAGCGCGCGAATCAAAGCAGCCGTGAACGCCCAAGTTGTCGCACCCGCTACAGCGAAATTTGAAGCAACGAATCGTTTCTTCACATGCGTCGTTTAATGCTCGATGCGAGCCAAGGCTACGGGAAGACAGGTGCAGTGACGTCCATCTGTTTCTACAACTGCGATGTGCACACGAGCGGGTACTTTCTACAGTGAGCAACGTAAATATGAGGGGAACAGAACGAAAAGAAGTTCAAGTGTGCTTAGTTTTGTGTCTGAAATAAACATCGTTCTGCTTACGTTTTGGCAGCAGCGGCAACGGCGCAGACATTAGGTGATGTTTATGGCAATAGTGCAATAGTGTATTCGTTTACCAATCGGTCAGATCTTGAAGTTAAATAGTTGTAAAACTGAAATAATTAAAAAAAAAAAACATGAAACCGGAATCGCATATGTTTATTGAATTAGGGAGTTTTCGTAGATCGTTTTCGCCGTCCCGCAACGCTCTCCGCAACCCGCTACGACCCTAGCAAAAATTCCGATAGGGATTTGTATGTCCGATAGGAATCAGAGCCGTTTATACTGAGAGAGTTTGGCCAATGGGCGGAGCTTTTTGCCCGCTAGAACCAGCGGATTGCGCGATAACACAAAATGGCTTTACTTCTTTTTCTTCTTTATTCCTGGGAAATCGCATAGAGTTCCTATGAGTCAGAGCCCCAAAATGGCGGACGGAAGTAGTCATCTCCCGGTTGTCAGACTACGCTGCTTTGGTTGCCAGGCTGTTAAAATCTTCTTAAGAAGGCCAAACTCTCTCAGTATAAACGGCTCTGATAGGAATAAGGAGTAGGGGTGTCGCGAACCGGCCGCGGTTCGAGTTCGACCAGGTTCGACTTTTTCGAACTTTTAGTGGAAAGTTCGTCGAACCTTGTATTGAGGTTCGACTCGTGTGCGCATGCGCGACAGGCTGGCCAGTTGGCTTCGGATTGGATGGTAATGGCTAAGAGATGAATTAAGTGCAGCGCTGATCGGCTATTTCAGTCAATACAGTACTAAAATTTCAGTTATTAACTTCTTCAGTGAATAGAATTAGTTTCTTTTAATTGCAGCTGTTCACAGAATAAAATAACCCTTTACATAAAAAAAGAAATTCTCCAAACCTAGACATGCTTGTACCAAGGTCTGGCCACTCTGTCCACAAAGTCGAACCGGTCGAATCTGGTGAAAAGTTCGAAGGTTCGTCGAACCGGTTCGACCCAGTCGAACCCCGAAAGTTCGACCAAAATATCTGGTTCGACAAAAGTTCGCGACACCCCTAAAAAGGAGGTTAGAAGTAGGGGTGTCGCGAACTTTTGTCGAACCAGATTTTTTGGTCGAACTTTCGGGGTTCGACTGGGTCGAACCGGTTCGACGAACCTTCGACCTTTTCACCAGTTTCGATATGGTGTACTAGAAGTAGAGTCCCTGGAATACTGGCTAGTCTGCCGTCCGCCGGCCGCGGCGCGTCTTTTCCGGGATGAAAGATGCGGTGGCGCTGCAAGCAGTCGGCGTGCTACCGACGGGTTCGACGGGCGCAGCTGAGGAGCAGCGAGTTTTTAGTTTTGCGCGCGTTTGCATTTGACTGAGTAAAAGTGGCCTGCGTTGCCGCCGCTCTAGTGGAAAACTTTTTGCCATTATGATGAGATCAATTATAGTTGTACAGTGCACTTAACAGCACTGGCATTACTGTTATCTGTGCAACATAACAGGTTCTCGTAAAAATATCCCAGTAAAAACACACCATAGTTTCTAACGGTTTATTACAGACACACAGCGGCTGTTCTTTTTTCCAGACTACATACCACAACGAACACAGAGTCACCATTAAAGCAGCTGATTTGTAGCTTCAGGAAAAAAAACAACAACAACAAACAAAACTCTTGCTTATAATTAGGGTTTTGCCTTTTCGGAGTTAATTTTTTTTTTTTTTTATCTCAAAATATCTTTTTTCTTTTTTGGGAGGGGGGGTTATTTTTTTATTTTTTTTTGTAGATTCGGTGTTTTTTGTGTAAATTGGTTATGACTTAACCAATTTACACAAAAAACACCAAATCGGTAAAAGAAAATTAAGCCCCGAAAAATAAAACAAAAACACTCCCACTTTCGAGGAAAAAAAAAATGAATAAACTCCGAAAACGCAGAACCCTACTTATAATACACGCTTTCATCTTACTTCAGCCTCCTTTCTTTCAGTAGCTTCATACGCTCCTGTTTCGCCATCCTGTCATTGTTGAGCGCCTTCGTGTAAAATCGAAAACGCAGAAGTACATAATACTTTATTACACCTGTTGTTATGGTGTGTTCATGTGCTAGACAACCTAATGTGGGAAACTCTACTTTCACCAAGAAGGAAAAGAAGTCCTTAATGCTCCTGGAGTGGAGCTTGTGTAAGCTGAAATAAGTTGTGAAACTATCTTCAAGGAGAGTTATAAGGTTCCTAAGGGGGCCAGATGGGTACATCAAACCTCCATTGTCGAAGTGGGCTGTAAATGACGAAGCCTGATCCTCTTCCATGGCGGTGTACTGGTCAGTTTGCAGGAAGGATACACAAACCTCACATGAAGTCTTGTTCACTGTCTTTCTGACTACATATCCAGCAATGTAGTAAATAAGCAAGTCATTGCTTTTTTCTGTTACGTAAGCACTGTGGTCTGACGGCGTGCAAGAGCTGAGTGCTTCTTCTGCGTCATTAAGCTTTCCTTTGTCGATCAGCCCGTCCAAAATGTCTATCGCTCGCTCCTTGTGCAGCTCTGATCCAACGTTTGAAATGAGAGAGTTGATCAGTTCTGGAGAGCAGTTGCCTGACTTGGGTGGCCTGGCTAGATTGTAAAATGCGAGTGCATTGACTGTGATTAAGAACTGGGCAGCAGTAGGGTGATCGTTTGCACCAGATGACTGTCGAACGACGCCGAACAGGTTCTCAAGCCTGTCCTGGCTCAAATTCGCTGTCATTATAAATTTAAACCCGATTGTGTTGATGTAGTCAAGCAGATGTAGCGTGCTTTCAATTGTCACATGTAGCCCTTCTGCTGTGCTAGAACTCAGAAAGCCACCCACAGTAGATTTTGCGTGGCTTTCCCACTTTCTCAGGTACTCCAGGAACTTTTTAAGAAACTGGTAGTTTGGCGAGCCAGCGTACAAGGCTGCCTTTGGGAATCGCGAGGACATTACCCTGATAACTTTGTTTATCCTCTTGACAAAACTTTCTGTTGGTTCTATTGAGCCACATGCAGCTTCCAGCTTCGCGCGGTAAAGAAAAAGTCCTTTGACGACTTCGTCACCAAATAACTGAAAAGCTGGCGCAACCCTCATTTTTTCGAAAGAGTTGGGGCTCACATGAACCCGAGTAATGGAAGGCATTACTTTCAAAGAAACAGTCTTGCTGTCAATTTTCCAAGCTTCTTGGATAGGGCGAATATGTGCGCGACCCTCTGGAGTGTTGAAGCCCTTTGCTATGAAGGCGTTCCTCACATTTTTTAGCAAGTGGGGAAAATCGGACAGGAAGTGCAGATGGTGCGCTTGTCTCACAGGGTGTGGGGTCTTGCACCTTGTTCCTTTCGCTGTACCTAAATTAATAGAAACCAACTTTAGCTGCACTGTAGTGACTGGTGAAGGCAGAAAATAGTGCATTTGATCCCTAGAATTACCTCGTATGCCAAAGATCCTCCACATTGACCTGTTCCAGCTCGCTCCATCGCAGGTGACAAAGTCTACAAAAAGACCGGCTTTTTCACATAGGATTGTTGCCTCGACAATGATTTTGGCCAAGGTGTCAGCTTTAACATTTCCACGTGAAGCAAACACACCAAGGACCTGTGTCCACTGACCTAAGGAAAGAAGCCAAAAAACAATAAATAAAAGTTTTGTTTCACGCCTGCAATGCAGCACAATAAATGCAATAGCAGAATGGAATCGCTTACCTTGGAAAGGTTGGAACAGAACAACCATCCCATGATCGCAAACTTGCCCCTTCTGTGATTCTGGAGTAAACTGTGCGAGGTCAACGAATCCCTCTAAGTCGCCTAGAAATGCAAAACAAATGTGCATATAAAGTACACAGCAGAGACAAACACTATAGCAGTGAAGAGCCACAACTTAAGAACAGGTTCTCACCAGTTGACTTGACATCCAAGTGCTCTGAAATCTTCATCTCATCAAACACAATGCCTCCATGGCATGCAAACTTGTCCATAAATTCGTCTTCTCAGAAAGGGCTTCAAATATTTTTTGGTTAAAACCGAAGCCGCCTTTGAAACCAAGAATCCGCTTTTGCAGGCACGTCCGTCCAGGCAGGGCAAGTATCTTGTGTCGTCTAATGTGTTCATAGAGTCTCGGACTCTTCATGCGCATTAATATGCATTCAAGAAGCCACTCGTTCGTGTACTGCATGCCCTTTGCCGACTTACGTCTGGCAGCTTCAAAGCAAGCTGTAACAGCAAGCTGCTGTTTCGAAGGCAGAGCACTCATCCTTTGTTGAAAGTCTGTTTTCGACAGCTGCTCGTTCTCGTTTTTCATGCTCTCAACAGCACTCTGTGCTTTTGCCAATTTCCTCTTCAGTACCCGTAAAGCACGGCTCTTCGAAGCTGATTTTTTTGCTTTGATGATTCTTTTCTTCCTGGAGGCTGCATTTTGGCTCAGTTTACGCATATACTTGCACGCCAAGCAGGGCGATTCAGAAATCAGAGAGCATTTTGCTGAAAAGTAGCACCCATTGAAACAAACAAAAGTTTTTGTCATAGGTTTCAGACCATAGCCAGGGCACAGCTTCATGCTTCCGATCTCGTGCAACAAGACTTTGACGTCATTTGCGCTGCTTATACTTTGATTTTTGATTTCCTTTCCACGAAGATAGACTGTTGCTTTTGGAGTTGAGCCCTGTGGCGCAGAAAAATCAAGCACAAT